ATTTACAACCTCATTATAAGCATATAAATAGCATCAGCTTGTTTGGGATTTATGGGATATTTTCTATTTTTTTATGTAACAAAAACAGTTTAACATAAGCATACAATTATTTTTTTCACAGAATAGCCGTTGTAGACTCCAGAAACCTTCAGTCACAAATTGTCAAGATACCTGTTGTTGCTTGTAGTTACTGCAGTGGCCGTGGTCAATGCAATTTTAATGTTACCAGAAAGACAGAAGTCGCCAGCTATGATGTAGCCACTTGTGTTTGTGATAAGGGTTACTCAGGTTTGTGAATAATGTCATTGTTGGTCATATTTGTTTTGTTGCAAAATTTGTTCTAAATGTTCATTTATAGGATTATAAAGCTTGAAGCCGTTTCCTTTCGCACACTCAATGAATAAAAAATGTTTGTTTATTTCTGGATTTTCTTTTCAAGCAGTTCTCTTTACTTTAAATACTTTCATGAATTCTGAATATGTAGCCATATTTTAAAGGCCTGGACTGCGAGCAAGACAAGGATGGTTGTGCCTTTCAGCCATGTCCTCAAGGCACAGGATGCTTGGACAGCCCTGCTAAAGCAGAGGCTAGCACAGGCTTGGCTTATACTTGCACAAACTGCCCCACAGGATTTATACTCAATGGAGATAAGACCAAGTGTGAAGGTGGGTGTTGTTTGTTATTAAGACATTTTTTGTAGCTATGCTGAAGTTTATGGATCATCATAAATAAGAAAATAAATTTGACAGTTTTTTTTTTTTCAAATTTTATAAAATAATTTTTTATTTAAATAATCAATTGATTTTATGCTGTGTATTATTACTTTTTTTCTAGTTTTAATTGATTGTTCTCTTTTCCTAATGAATAAATTTGTTTTGATTGGGGAAGAATAACGCTGTAATTTTAATGGTCATACAAAGAAATGTAGAGAGTGTGTTTAAATTGGCTACCACCTTATCTGCATTCAGTTCAATGCATGTTTGCAGTCATTAACTTATCTTCTCCTTTTTCTCAGGTGTTCCCTCTTTTACACACGCTCGCAGACAGATACACACACAGAGACACACACTCATACACACAGAAACACACATATAGCAACACATGGACACAGAAATAAAGAGAGATACATAGACTAACATACACACATAAACACACATACACAAACGCACACATATACTCACAAAAACAATTTTGTATTTATTTTAAATACATATTTATGTTTCAATAATGTGTAATAGTATTTGTATATGTAATATACCAGATATAAATGAGTGTTACAACACATCAAATCTTATGTGTGGAGGAAATGGTGATTGTGTCAATACCATAGGAGGCTTTACATGTATTTGCCATGTGGGCTTTAGGCTAACCAGAGAACTGCGTTGTTTGGGTGAGTTTGATGAGCTGTTAATTAAAATATATGGCTTTTTAAAAAAAAAAATTTATTTTTGAGCTGGAATTAAACAATTGCTGTCTTCATTGTCCTTGGAATCTTGCAGTTAACCGGATAATCTTGCAGCTAATCGATAATCTTGCAGCTAACCGGATAATCTTGCAGCTAACTATTTGAAACTAAATGAAGCATTAAGGTTGCATGAACACAATGTCTCTTTATTTCTTAGATCGTTATAATTAGAAAAACAGCTTCTCATAAATGTCTAACAGTAAAAAAAAAAGGGTTTCATTTGTATTATTACATGTTAGACTTTCTAAATGAATTATTATGCTAACGTGATGTATGAAAAGTTATTTAATTTTATTCTAACAAAATTTTAAAAAAATAAAATCAAATACTAATAGACTTATAACTTTTCCTGTGAAGTATTTGGGGCAGGGGTTTCATGAATGTTGCATTCCTTTTAGATAAAAAATACAAAGTGGAACAATATATGTTTAGGCTTGAAAAGAAAAGATAGTACAGTTAAACAGACATCTCGGAAAAATGTTATCTTTAAAAAAAATATATAAAAAATGCAACAAATATGTATCTGAAAGATGAAAAAAAAAATGTTATCTGTAAATAGTAACTTACATGGAATCTGAAAAAAAACAAAAAAAAAAAAAAAAAAAACGTGGTTTCTACAAACAACAATAAATAAAAAAAATATAAAAAAAACGCAAAAAATATGTATCTAAAAAAAAAAAAAAAAAATGTTATCTGAAAATAGTAACTTACATGGAATCTGAAAAAAAACAAAAAAAAAAAAAAAAACAAACGTGGATTCTACAAGCAGCAATAAACTTGACGTATTAATTTCAAAAGTTGTCTTAAATATCACTTGGTGTGAGATATGAGTGCATGAATTAATAAAATCCAAGAGCGAAGCAATCATCTGGCGTCAACAGATTCTACTTTATCTAAATGTGATGAAAGATTAACATTCCCCATGCTGAGAACCCAGAAGCACTATTTCTATAATATGATTTTTAATTTTTGTATAATATTTTAATGACTCAGATGGCACTTTCATTGCTACTGGAACTTTATTAATATGTTCTTTGATAGTTAAATTCATAACTGTTGCCTTGGTTAAAAAACTTTCAAATATATTTCAATCCAACGCCCGCATTCTTGTCTATCACAGACATCAATGAATGTGTTGAGAACACACACCGCTGTAATCAGATTTGTGTGAACACCGTTGGGGATTACTTTTGCAAATGTGAACCAGGATTCGATGTATATAAATACAGCTGTCAAAAGCACAACGGTAAATGTACATTTTCAATATCCTTATAAGTTAGACTGCTATAAATGTTTATTTTATCTTTGTGTAACATGTGGCCTATATGAATCTTTATAACACATGGCTTAATTTAACTTCCATAGAAGTAGCCAGAAGAATAAGTCTTAGTTTTTTTTCTTCTTTTTTTTTTTTTGCTTTGATTATTGCTCACATTGAAGTATTAAATAGCATTTTGAAGTTTCATTTTCAAGAAACATGTTTATCATCCTAGATGATGTATTTGAGTGACATAGTTGCATCCTTGTACTACCAGTAAACAATGGAAAGTTTTTAATTAACTAAATAAACCTATGCCTGACTCTTATCATGTTAAAATGGGAAACAAAGAAGGAAGGTGGGTAGAGGAAGTAAATAGTGAAAATGGTAGGGAAAAGTTCTGAGACAGGCAGCCACAGCTTGTTAAGATTTTTGAGACATGTAGGCACATCTTGCTTAGATGTTTAACATAGGTGGCCACAATTGGCTTAGATATTTTGAGATAGGCAGCCACATATTGTTCAGATTTCATGGCATCATCAGTCATGAGCCTGTGATTAGAGATGATGCCTTCGTAGGAAAAAAAGCTTCATGTGCTTATTTACTCCTCCATATTTAAGCTCATGATTTATCTGACAGATACCAGTGATCAATGTGCTAAGCTGAACAAGACATGTGAATATGGTTGCCATAACTCTACATCAGACTGTTTCTGTCAGAAGGGAAAAAAGTTGAAACAAGATGGCCAGAGTTGTGAAGGTATTTTTAGTTTTAATGTGGCGAATAGAATGTTGTCTAGGGGTTGGATCCCCTTCATTATGGCCACAGAAATAATTTGAGAGTCAAAAACTCCTCTCATTCTCGCCTATGCAGAGCTGATGTGTTGTATGACCTCCTTGCCCCTAATGATTTAAATAACACAAAGCTGAAAAGTGAAAAGATTCAGGTTTATTTATTTACTTGCTTTGTATGAATGACAGTACAATACAAAATTGTGTCAGAAAATAATCACTATTTTTCAGAGTAAAATAGACATGTCCAAAAGTCCTACACATTCTATGAAAAATAGAGGAACACAACTCCTAGCATAAAATGTATAGGTCCCTATTGAAAAATATAAATTCTTTCCATTCTTAAAGAAAATAATAAGCACTCTGGCTCACAAAAATGTACACACGTTTTAAACACAGGTTGTTGTTTTTTTTAACACTCAGCCACGGTCATGCTTGGATGAGTTAAATTCATGACAAAAGGAGAAATAACAATAAGAAAAAATACAACAGTTCCCTCACATAATAACCACATAAATCATAACCTGACATAGCAGAACTACATCACTTTAATCTAATTGGGATAACTCATGCCCTCTTGTTTCTCACTTCCTTCATTTACATCTACATACAGGGCTATGGCTGTAATGGCCAATAAATTTTCGAAGTGGTGGTGATGCAAGCTTTGATATTTAAAATTATGTACACTGTGATTGTGTTGAAAATGGCTTACTGTGTGAGATATAGCTTTGGGGTTAAGGATTTTTAAACAGAACCATTAAAAATTTAAATATTAACAAAAAGAAAGTGGTTGAGTTTATGAGATGGATTTAAAAATCTTAAGAGATTTCTTGGTTTTGAAGAAAGAAACATTTTTTAACTGACCACTTGGGGTAGATATGTGCTTGAGGCCCTTTGGTTGATGATACAGGTAGTTGATGTCGTGAGCGAGTGTGATAAGTAGAAATACCATAGTAAATTTAAATACAAGATACCAAGTTCTTAACTAGTCAATATATAAATTGATCATGGCTTAGTGGACACACAGACCATAAATCAATCTATTATTAATTATTATATTTTTTTTGGTTCCAATTCCAGACATTAATGAATGCCTTGGTGAGACTCCAGTTTGTTCACAAATTTGTACTAACTCCGATGGTAACTTCTCGTGTTCCTGTTACAACGGCTACGAATTGAATGTTGATCAAACATCATGTGACCGTAAGTAGATGTGAATGTATATACATATTTATAAAATTGTTATATATTGTTTGCATGAAGTCATAGTTACTTTCAGTTTTGGAAATCACTAAGCCTAAAATTGACTAATATATAAAAAAGATTTTTTAAAATTGTTTTCATAAGTTTACATGTTAGCTGCATTTACATTTTATTTTCAATTATTTTTTAAGCCATCATAGTTTTTATAATTTTAAATACCTTCCAGCCTGCTCTGGGGTAAGTTATGGTGAAAAATGCAATAGGACCTGCTCTTGTCTAGGACGTGCAATACGATGTGATAATGTCAAAGGATGCATTTGCCAGAGTGGATGGAGGGGTACGAACTGTGAACAGGATGTAGATGAGTGTGCTGTTGTAGGAACCTGTCGGCCTGATCAAATTTGTGTCAACACCAATGGAGCTTTCATATGCCGTTGTCCTGATGGCTACACGGAGTCCAATCAAACGTGTTCTAGTAAGTTTCAATTTTGTTTAGTTTACTAAATTTTAATTTATTGATTTCAGAAAAGTCATGTTTTTTTTGTTTTTGTTTTTTTTGGTTTCACATTTTAAAAATAAAGTTATTCTTAATAATCAAGCATGATGGGGAATATTATTTAATTGAAAGTAAAATATAATAGAATTGAACATATATTGCCGTTTAGACAAATCAAATTTAAAAATTTGAAATTTGCCTTTAGTTTGTACAGAAATTCCAGGAAAAAATAAAAGAAAACATTATAATATTTGGTAAAATTAACAAAACTACAACTTGTCAACTCTTTGAAAGAAGAATGTAAAATTTGGCTTTGATAAATTAAAATTTTAACAACTCTTTAGAAATAAAAAAAATTCTGCCTGTCATTAGATGTCAATGAATGCTTCAATCCTTCTTTAAACAACTGCACACAACGGGAAAGCTGTATAGATGTACCAGGGACCTATCTTTGTGTTTGTCGAGGAGGATATTTCAGGGCTAACAATCTTTGTCAAGGTAAACCCTGCCCAGGAGTAAGGTCTTTTGAATAATGAGTTTACAATATTTCATTAAGTTCATAAATGCCCTTTTTTTTTTAGGAAGTGTGGGGAAGGGGGGGGGGGGGGGTTAATTNNGGGGGGGGGGGGGGGGGGGGGGGGAGGGTTAATTTCAAATTAACTAAAATTAAATCAGTATGGGCTGTTATATCTCTTAGTTTTCTGCACTTGAGATATTGTTTTTTATGTTCTTATGTCAAAAGATAATGTAGAGATTATATATCTTCTGCTCTTGATATATTTTCATGTGGTTATGTCAAAAGATAATAATGTACGAATTATTATATCGTTGGATTTTTTCTTGTAAATGGAAAAACTGGGTCAAAATTTTAGAGAGAGAACCTGTGTGTCATCAAGTTTATGTTTCATAATCAATTATTACTTGATCACATTCTTAATTTTGTCATAGTGATGGATGTACCTGAATATTTTTTTGATATCAAATAGTTTGTTATTTTAAAAAATAAATTCTTTTAAATTTTGTGTCCTTTCTTTAGGCAAGCTTAACCTGAGTTTATTGAATTTTTGGTTTAGAGGGATTTAAACATTTTTTTTTCATAAAATAATTGAAATCATTCTCAGATATTGATGAGTGCAGCTCTGGTATATCTGGGTGTTCACATCTTTGTGTCAACACAGAGGGTAACTACAACTGTGAGTGCTTCCCAGGATACACACTAGAAGATGACAGGAAGTCATGTCGAAAGAGTAAGTAGGCCTGGGTGTACTTTGCAAAAAAATAATTAAACAATTTTTATCTGTATGACTTCAATAGTGAATAATGTCTGAAATTTTTGCATCTTTATAGCCACTCTGCTCTACAGGGGTTTGTGCTCTCACTATATATATATATATATATATATATATATAAATATATATAATAGTTTCATGTAATTTAGTTCTGTTTGTTTTGGAAGATTAGCTGGACTGTGGTAACTGTCATTCCAGAACAATCACTTGTTAAGAAAGGCAAGAAAAACTTAAAAATTTTAATCCATCTTTTCCCCTCTCTTCTTTTTGTTTAGAACTAGATCTATGTGAGAGCTCTTATCTCAACTGCAGTTATGGTTGCTCAATTCAGAATGAGACTGCCCAGTGCATTTGTGCCACTGGTTATCAACTTAGTACCAACAAACAGGACTGTCTTGGTATGTTCCTCAAGCCAGGTGCAACGTGCAGCTTTTAAAGGGGTTTGAGGGGTCTTCTCTTCTTATGTATTAAAAAAATAAAATATTACAGTGGGACATAAACTCAAAGTTTTCCCTTTTTGTTTCATTATCAACACTCTTTAATCTGCCATTTTAAAAAAAAGAAAGAAGAAAAAAAAAAAGAATTGCTGATAAAAGAGTTTACAGAAACAAAATTTTGAAGGAAAAAAAAGTCTCTTTTGTGGTAACTTTCTGTGCTGCACCCTTAGGAAAAAAAAAACCCAACTATATTCCACCTAACAATGGCAGCTGCAATGCATGAACTTTCTATCTGCTAAAGTTAGTGGACAAAAAATGCATTCAAGTAATACACTTTATGAGAGTTCCAATAAAATTAATATGTGTGCATTAAATGCTAGTGAATTGAATTTTTTACATTGACATTTCTATTATTGACTCTATTATGTTGTAAATAGAGTCTCAAAAGTTTAAAGAGGACCTGGCTGCCTATTCCTTAAATGTGACGCTTTTTCAAAGGCTGTCCCTCTTAGCGTTAGTGATTTTGTTACATAGGTAATTTTGTATTTCAATAATGGATTTGATGATCAAAAACAGTTTTAGCGAAACGTGAATGTGTCTCAGCCCACCACATCACAATAATTATTAGAAGGAGATGGGGACAACACAGGAAATTCTATATAAACAAAAATGTATCTAAACCTCTGAGAGAAGCTGTACACATTAATTGTTGATAAAAGCATTGTAATCATTTTTTTTACTTCTTAAAATTGAAAATACAAAAAACTTTTAAAATATTTTTTTTTTAAATTATCATTTTCAAGGTAATGATATTTAATTTATTAAAAACTTTTTCCAGATATTGATGAATGCTCAACAGGGAAGCACCAATGCACTGGTATCTGTGTCAACACACCTGGTTCCTATAACTGCTCGTGTTATGAAGGGGCAAAGTTGCAGAATGATCAAAGAAGTTGTATAGGTACAAAGATACTTTTTGCTTCATTTTTGTTCTAAACTTGCCTATCTATACCACAACAATCTTATTTGGAATCCCTTGGTTAGGATGTAAACCTTAGAAATTGTATTTAATTAGCAAAGAATACAAAAGTAAGTTAGGTTATTCTGTAACCAGTTGCTTCTTTTTTTTTTTTTGCCGCCCCATTAAAAAAAACAAAAAACAACCACCCTACGACTTGACAAAAATGCCGCCCCCTCAATGTAAAGAAATAAGTGCTGCCCCCTTCCAACAACAGTCTGGGCATTTTAAATGCGTTTGAGTGAGCTCTTTTTGTGGATAAGCTAGATATTTTATGATAAACTTCACAGATTAATGTCATCTGATGGTTTTAAATCATTGTTCATTGATTCCCATTTTTCTTTTTCAAGTGGAGCTGATTCACAATCATAGTTTTATTTTTTTTGTTTCATCCAGCATATCTGCAGAACTGTTTCGTTCATTTCTCTTTTTTTTTTTAATAGAATGTGATAAATACCACTGGGGACCTGCCTGTGTCAATGAATGCAACTGCTCTCTGAATGGCACAGCTCAATGCAGCCGTGTCACTGGGTGTGTATGCAGGCCAGGATGGGCAGGGCAAACATGCTCCAGTGACATTGATGAATGTTCTGCAGTAGTCCCACCCTGCCCCAGCTTATCCAACTGCATAAATACACCAGGATCTTACCGTTGTCAGTGTAGGGTGGGGTATCAGCTGATAAACAACACTTGTGTTGGTAAGTTCCAGAGATGGATTTCGTCAGTGTAGTGTGTGTATCAGATCAGCTGATGAAGAAAAACCTGTGTTGCTAAGTTGTAGAGATGGAATAAGGCTGTTCCATCTGCTTTATTTAGCCTAAAAATGATTTTCGGTTTCAATGTCATCATTCATTTGTTATTGTTTTTTTTAACAAATAACCCATGGCACTCATCTTTATTGCAAGCTGGTACAAAATCATTAACCACTTCATTACCGCAGGGTTTTGGCATCGATTTTTTGCTTACTCAGCAACAAAAAACTTAAAGAAAAAAGATGAAATTTTCGGTATAGTTCATTCTATCTGATTCGATTTTTATCTTCTCTATAGATAAATGAATAAGGAAATATATAGCATTGAAATTTGATGTCGACGTGACGTCCTTGGTATTTCAGAAAAGTTCTTACATTTTTGTTATGACATCGATGTGATTTCCTTAGTAATTGAAAGTGGGTGATTTGTGACGTCGTGAGTCGACGTCATCGGTAATGAAGTGGTCAATATAGGAACCATATTAGAATCTGCTTATGCTTTTACATTCTCATCTGCTTGAAGGGGATTTCTTAAAACTTCTATTAATATTAATGTAAAGCTTCTAATTTGGAAGACAATGAATGGATAAATCAGTTGATAGCTAAAGACCTAACCAAAGATTTAAATGATATTACAACATAAATTGAAGCTGGACTCATTGATTTTTTAAATTCTCTTATTTTAATTTTTTTTTTCCTTCCAGATATTGATGAATGTTCTAGTGGCTCTCCTTGCTATTTCAAATGTACTAATACAATGGGAAGCTACTCTTGTTCGTGTCCACCAGGGTTCAGAGTTGAAGAAAATAAATGTACAGGTCAGATTGGTTATGAAATGTTGACATCTGAAAAGTTTGTCTTTGAAAATTAGACGCAATATTTTGTTTTACTGTTGTACCCTAAACAAAAAAAAAGGGAAAACACTTGTCAATGGATTTATATTTTACTTTGTGACGATTCATTTTGACAAGCCTTATATTAGAAGATCTACTGTGCAAAGTTGAAAAAAAAAAAAAGAAACTTATGTCTGTGTGCATGTATCATTTTAAAATATGTGCATCAAGTTTTAATTTTTGTATTTTTCTGTAAGTTTGATCCTGAAGTTTTTCTAATGTTAAGTTAACCCACTTTTTTTATTGTTGATTTTTTTTTTTTTTTTTTCTTGCAATGATTAATTTTAGTCCATCAAAAATGTCATTTGTTTCTGAAAACTTGTTCCGACGACAGATATTGATGAGTGCGCTGTTGACCATTTAAACAACTGTGACCAGAACTGCAGGAACACAAATGGGAACTTTGCCTGCGAGTGCAATGAAGGTTATGTGCGAAATACCTCAAGCAACACATGTGACTGTAAGTAAGGCTGCACTGTGTTGTGCCATGGCTTCTGTTAATCAGCAACGTAATTAACCGGCAGTTTTTTTTGTGACAGAATCAGTTCCATTGGATCCATATGGAGTTTGTTTATTTTAACTTCTTTATATAACTCCCATGTTACATATTTTCTCCCCCCCCCCCCCCCCCCCCCCCCCCTTCTTCAATGTATTACTCATTGGATGATTCTGAGGGGCTTAATTTTTTAAAATATAAAAAAAAAATAAAGTATAGTAGAGTGAGTTGCCAACAACTTGATGTAATTCAAAACAACGCGATGTTCCATGTGTTCCATGTCCAGTACAACAACAGATGTCATATTGCAAGAAATATCACTGGAGGCTATGCAGCAGAATTTTAATAATTTTTTTGCATTGGTGTCTTTAGTTAGAGAAAAATTGCTTCCTCTAAATTACAATGATGTCAATTAATGTCTACATAGCATAACATTATGAATGGGGCTTTGCTATGCCCTGTTTTAAGGCAATTCTTTCGTGAAAGAAATGGAGGCCTGTATAACAGTCTATCATCATAGAAATTACCACCAAAAAAATATCCAATTGTATTTTTTCAATAAGGCGTATCTTTAAATAGTGATAGCCATAACAGTAATAGGTTGCATCCTCTGTGGAAACATAGTGCAGCCGATTGGCCAATACTAATGAGTAGCGGGGTTGGGAACACCCCAGACATCTACATAGAAAGTATCCTCTATAGCCATGCCCAGAAGATGTGGCACCTCTGTAAAGTGCTTGCTGGGGCCCTAAAAGAGCGCTTAAGCTCAGCTCTAAAATGAGAATGTAATATTTCAGTTGCGTTTTTATCCCAAAATTTAAAAAAAAAAGATTTAATAATGTTCGTCTTATAAGCAATTTTAAAATAAAAATATATTTTAACTAAAAATGGAGTGTGTGTGTATATATATATATATATAATAGCGCTGTAAAGACAAAGTCATTATTAAATAGTTTGAAAATTGATTGGATGTAAAATTTGTGATGTTATCAATTTATCCACTGTTATGATATGCTTGATAATTTTTTTCTTGTTTTCTTTATCTTCATCTTTCCATGTTTTGTAACTTCATTCCAGTGATTGACCTCAGCCTAAAATGTGGGCCATCCCAGAAATCCTGCAACCAAACCTGTACACTTGTGGTAAACAAAACCGTGTGCTCTTGTCAGCCTGGCTATACCTTGGCACAAGATGAACTGAGTTGTAATGGTGGGTAGAAGTTTCTCAAACTTTGATTTTTACACAGGTATTTCTTTTATAAAAAGTTTTTTCGTTTGTTGTTTAAATATTACCACATCAACTGGAGATGTATTGTTAAAAGATGCATTCCACTGTCACAGAATCAAGACGTAATAATATTTAATTCTTGTTTTTAGACAACAGGACCAGACATGTTAAAGACAACATACTCCTCACTGAGATTTAAATTATTTATTTTTCTATCTATTTGTCTGTCTCAAAAAATAAGTACGACCATATAAATTGAACATATAGCGAATAAGAAATATCTTCTTCTTCTTCTTTGTTTTGAGGGCCCACGATCAATCAATTGATCATTTTGGCTCCTATGTTTTTTTCTAGGACTTATCTAATAACTAAAGCAGTAATGTAAAAACAAGATATCTCCCTCAAACTCAATATAGACATTACAAAAATTTATTTTTAAACATTATAATAAACAAAGCACAAATAGGTCTTTTTGGGGCACTTAAAGAGGATATGTACTCATTTGTGACATGCTAACTGTTAAATGAAGCAAATTCCATTTCATGGTAGTATCCCACACTAACAAAAGCTTGGTAGAATTTACCTTGAAGTAAGTATCAGTGAAATGGTTCTAGTATCCCACACTAACAAAAGCTTGGTAGAATTTACCTTGAAGTAAGTATCAGTGAAATGGTTCTAGTATCCCACACTAACAAAAGCTTGGTAGAATTTCTCATGAAGTAAGTATTGGTGAAATGTTTCTAGGCAGGCACCAACCTGCTGCTGCATACTTTTCAATTATGGATTCAAAAGTGCCATGGAGGTTTTTTTAAATAATATTTGTTATAAGAGGGATTGGAAGGTCCTAAAGCTTTTAATAAGATTAATAAGACTCAACAATTTGTAAAGATTAGCTGTGCTAATTAATTTTTAAACAATTGTTTGTATGTTGTTAATCTAATGTTTTTTTTGAGAATTTATAGTATTTTAATATTTTTTTTCTTCAAAAACCAGTTTTGTATAGTAGAATACCTACAAGGTAACCAAATACTTAAATGCCATCCATCATGCAAAGTTTTTTTTTATCAGATCCAAATGAGCAATGTACAAAGTAGTTAGTTATGTTAGGCAAGTGATGAACTTTCTGTGATTGTGGCAGATGTTGATGAGTGTCAAGATAGCCCTTGTGTCAATGGCAGCTGTTTCAACTATAGAGGCTCGTTCTCCTGCCACTGTGATGATGGGTTCAAACTTTCAGAGGACCAACTTACTTGTGCAGGTCAGTCAATGTACTGTCCACAACTCTTTCAATAACTATACATGATAGAGGCCTAAAGTTGTTGTTTTTATAGGTGTTATGTTTGAAATTATACATTGAAGGAAAGGTATCTCATGTTTAGGATATATATCTAAGCAAAATGACATTGGTGCAAAAACAAATTTATCTCATTTTATAGTAGTTTACATTTTTGATGTGTAAACAATGTTTTTTCGTAATCAGTTTTAAAAAAAGATTTTTAATTGTTATTTTTTGTGGCAAGTTGGGTAGGGGATATTGCATGACACATGATTCTGTTTTTGTGTTTTCCCATTGCTCACATAGTCAGTTTACATTTTATAACTAATTTGAAGCCAACTTCCAAGTTTTGCAGTTAAGGTTTTTTTTTACTTTGGGTTTACTTTCTCCCCAAGAACATCTACCTTGCTGGTCAAGTCCATTTCACCCTGCATTTAGAGAAAATTTGATACTTTTCATTTTTAATATTTTGAAGTGAGTTTAATAAAAAAATATTTTTACTTGGAGACATAGCAGCTAAATGGAATATTGTTATACTCTGATACCGTTTCAGAAAGGTTTTTTCCAGAATAAAAATTAAAAACAAAATTTAATTAAAATGTAATCGTCTTTCAGAATGTGGGCTTGGCTTTTATGGGGGTAACTGCAGTCACGAATGCACCTGTAACTCCACAAATGTTGAAAGCTGCAACCGCACGGATGGAAGTTGTAACTGCTTTCTCGGATGGAGTGGGACCAACTGCTTGGAGGACGTTGATGAATGTTCTGATAATGCCACAGTATGTCAGCTGAATTCTTACTGCATAAACTCACCGGGATCCTACAGATGTGTCTGCAACATTGGCTTTTACAGTTCAGGGGGACGTTGTCTTGGTGAGTATTGTATGTAACATTGGCTTTGACACTAAGGGAAATTTGTCTCCCTGCGTCTTTTTATGTAACATTGGGCTTTACAATTTAGAAAAACTCTGCCTTAGTGAGTACCAGTTGTCTGGAGGCTGCTTTTATTGAAGTTTACAAGGGACAATACACTTGGACAGGATGATCAATTGTAGAGCAAAAAAGAAAAAAGTTATTTATGGGAAGAAACCCAGGAGCAGTTGGCTCACCAAGACTGAGATGGCTTGATGATCATCAAGGACCTACATCAGCTGGGGTTCTGAGCATGGAGGCAGAAAGTCATGGATTGATCTGAATGGAGTGATGTGGTGGATAGCAGGAAAAGGGCCTTCCATGGGCTGTAGCCCCATTTATAATGATATCATTATAAGTGAATTTTTTTTCCAAAACTTACTTAATAACAGAATTTAGGTGATTGTGATTTTTTTTGGTCCTCATATCCACTGGGTCTGATAGCATCTGTCATTTTATTCTAACTTCTTCTTCTCACCATTTACTCTCTTCCCCATGTGTCCCTCAGCTTTGTCCAGAAACCAACCTCAGTCTTTCAGACACTCCCTTAATTTCTTTACCCAACACTGATCCACCCAACACTGATCCACCCAACACTGATCCACCCAACACTGATCCACCCAACACTGATCCACCCAACACTGATCCACCCAATACTGATCCAACCAACACTGATCCACCCAACACTGATCCACCCAACACTGATCCACCCAACACTGATCCACCCAACACCCTCCTCATTACCCCTACTCTCTCCTATCATCATCACCTTATAATAAAGTGGGCAATCTTCGCCCATCCTATCACAAAATTAATTCCCTGATTGGAGCTGGAGAGAGATTCATGAATCTGGCTAAGGTAGAGAAAGTGCAGGGCACTCTGAAAATGGGCTGCCCTGAAGCTTTTCATTTTACCAATAAATATATATCTTCATCCTTTTAGTCTGGTTATTATTTTCCCTTTATAAATAAATGAATGGCTTATTCTTATCCTCTTAAAATACCACTGCACCATAAAATTATAACATAAGAACCTGACACTGAAAATATTCCTTATCGTATGTGAAGGACAAGACATTTGTTTCACACATGTGAAAATATCATAAATGAAAAAAAACTCAGCTGAACTGTTCCCCATTTAGAAATAACAATGTTATTTTATTGTGGATATTTTTTATTTTGTTTGTGAGGCATGAACTAATTTAGACCTGACATAATTTGTCTTCAAATGTTTCACTTGTGGACTGCTTTCATTTATGATCGTCTTAGCATGCGATGCCAACCGCTACGGCCAAGACTGTTCACAGAAATGTGGCTGTGTGCCTGCCAACACTTTGGACTGCAATGATAAAGACGGAGTGTGTGCTTGTAAGAAGGGCATGACCGGTGCTTATTGTGAAGTTGGCATTGATGAGTGTGCGGACACCAGTTTCTGCAGGGGACCGCATGAAAACTGCACAAACCTTAAAGGCTCTGTGGTGTGTGGGTGCAGGTCTGGCTATGAACGTAACTATCAGGATGACACCTGTCAAGGTAATGTGACATTCAGATAGGTACACATTTTAGAGCCCATCATTTTTTAAAGATTTTCTTTTCGTTTCATCACTTTTTAAAAGTTTTACATATTAATGGATAAAATAAATGTGTCAATCCAAGTGTCTAACTTCTTGCCATGTTAACAGTTACAAATGAATGTGTCAATCCAAGTGTCTATCTTCTTGTCATGTTGACATACCCTGGTATACAAATGAATGTGTAAATCCAAGTGTATAACTTCTTGTCATGTTGACATATACAAATAAATGTGTCAATCCAAGTGTATAACTTCTTGCTGTGTTAACAGATACAAATGAATGTCTCAATCCAAGTCTCAACAACTGTGTTAGCCCGAAAGAATGTATAAACACAGATGGTTCAAAAGTATGTGTCTGTGGGCCAGGATTCTTACCTGCATTAAATGATACCTGTAAAGGTGATTATTTTTTCAACCAGTATAATATAAGATAATTCTTTATTGATGCCAATAAATGGAAATTATTTTTTTTATTAAATTGTACATATTCATTTTCAGAACATAAATAAATATATATTTTAACCAAGACGGCATGTTAAAATTACAACAAATGTAAACACAACACATTCAAAGTATTTCTCTGACGTAAAAATCAGCCATCAATAAACTCCCTTAGTGACAGTATTGACATAATTAGCGATCATTTAGATTTGGTAACCACTGGGGGAGCAAGCCGGTAAATTTATGCAGACTGGGGAACAAAATAATTTAAAAAATCTTTCAATCAAAACTTTAAGAGAAAAAATTCACCCTCATCGAGCTGATCACATTTTTAAAGTTAATGGCTGAGACATTGTTCTTTGTGTTTTTAATATTTTTAATGACCACCCCCATCGCCTTTAATATACAAACACATATCCAGGTGTGGAGGTGCTGTTAAATCTATAAATTCATTAAAGTGGAAGTTAAGTAGGGGGAGATAACTGTTTATATTGAATTATAAAGCAAAGTCATTTTTTATAAAAGGGTTGCTCTTTTTGTCATGCATTTAATCTAAAGCTGGTTTCTTGTCAGTCACCCAATGTTCTTAATGGTGACTGTTGTTGCAGTTCATTTCAGAGAATTTCCATTGCAATTAAGACTGGACTACCCAGATGATCAGATTACATCAGATTTGTTGAACCCTGAGACCAAAGTGTTCAAAAGCTTGGCTCTAAAAGTTGAAGCAAGTGTAAGTTAAGGAAATTTCAAATTACCAATCCTCTGAGGTTATTTAGTCAAGCTCCTCAAGCAAAGCCTTAGCTTACTAGGTCTAAAAATAAATTATTATTTTTTTAAATCAAAAATAATTTTAAGAAAGAGAAATTAATATAAATAATTCCCATCTGTCTATTTAACTGGTATTATTTCATAATGAAATAAAAATAATTGGAAAATTATAATCAAATTAAGATTTTACTGCTGTAAAAAAACTTTAACCAATAAATATGTTTATATTTTCAGTTGCAGGACTTTGGGAATAAAACTATTGGCAGAGCATGTCTCTCTGTTAAAGTCACTCACTTCACGTAAGTCGTTCAACCTGACTAAGATGTTCTTTAAAAAGATTGAATGTAAACATTCACTTAAAGTTAAAGACTGTAGTATTCTTGAAAGATAGAAATGTGTCCATTTTTTTTTTTGTTGTACTGATTTATTATGAGATAAATGATTTTTGTTGTTGAGGATTTAAAAAAAAATTAAAGTACCAATAGTTAAAACATCAAGTTTTTTTGTTATTTTTTTAAAAATACAATCTTTCATTTAGTTGTATGATCTGTTAAAGAGATCAAATATGTTTTTTAAATTTCACACTTATATCATCTATCCTTTTATGATAACCTTCACACATACAGGAGAGGCTCTCTCATAGCCAACACCGCAGTAAGAATTGACCAATCTTATTCTTCAAGTCCTTTTTACGATGCTGCTTTCTTGGCAAAGAATTTGCAAGCAGAAAAATCACTCTTGATTGGTGACCAGGTTTTCAATGTTACAGACGTTGCTCTCAATAATGCATCAGGTATTTTGGTCTAACTTATATACTCTTAATGAAAGTAGGGATGGCTAAACATTTTGTTAAAAATTCTGGGATCAAAGCAGACTTTGTTCATCCTAACAAAGGACGATATTTATTTATATAATTGCTATGTTGAGGCATACTCCACATTAATGTCACCATTCCGTCTAGAAAAACAGTGCAAGAAGGCTAAGTTATTATTTAAAGCACTCACCTGTGCTCACAATAGCAAGAAAATCTGTCATTGAACTGCTACCTTAAACTAAAAAAAACAACTCTAAAACACTTAAAATAACACATAGGCTTATTTTATATGAAATTTTAAAAAATCTAAGTTTACTTTGTGAAAAATGTAGATTAATTAATAAATTTTATAACAATTTTTTTTAAAAAGACGGTTGTGATTTGAAGATACATATTGGTGAACTATCTAAACAAAATGGGGCACCCTGTTAGTAATTAAAACATTGCTTAAAATATAAATGAAAGTAAAAACTAACCAAACAATTTCCTAATTGATACAAGCAACATCTCAAACCAGACGTATTGTGCTAGACCAAATGAAAAATGTTTACAAAGAGAGATAACTTAAAAAGTATGAGATCAGTTTTTTTCATTGTACCATCTAAAATGCACATTAGGATCAGTTGTGAAAGCTGAGACCCCTAAGTAAACCTCCTAAATCAACCCCCATTCCCCCACAATGCATATGTAACATATGATGGATGACCCCTAACCCTGTCATTCCCAGTTTCCCAATCTGATGATATTTGCCAAGTTTACAACACATTAAAAGAAAAGTGTCCTGCCACTGAAGAATGCTTTGAAGATACATTAGAGAAGACACCTTGCTCCATCCCTTCAAAAGGTTTGTTTAACTGTGAATGAATGTCAGGCCTAGATTCAAATAAAAATGGCAATGTATTTGATGATCAAAAGAATGACATTGATTTATCCATGCAGCGCATTTCTACTTTTAGCTCTTTTGAATATTATTTATTTTTTTTCCTTCCAAATTTAGAAGGATAATTTTAGAAAAATACAACTGCATTGATCACAATATAAAAAAATGTAAACAAAAAAGTCAGGAGACATCACGTTGAAAGTTTGAAAATTATCTTTTGTTCTGTTTTCAGATGATGATCTTCCTCTTATCATCGGCCTTGCAGTAGGAATCCCTCTCTTTGTTATAGCAGTTGTAATTGTTATAGTAGCTGTCTTGTGTGTCAGGAAGAAGTCTATCAGATAAGATGTCAGCGGCGTTATTTCAACAGAAAAGGAAACCTCTAGAAATGATTACCACAGTGCATATTTAAAATAAGTCTCAAAATATTTATTTGGTTAATCTTTAACATTTATAATTTTTTTATAAAACCACATTATGTTCATTTGGTATAAGTTTTAGTTAAGTGGCAAACTAGGTGGTGCATATTGTATCAAAATTTTATTGTATAAAAATATATATGAATATTTTTGTACACAAAAATCTATTTATTTTTACTGCATCAGAGCGTATTTGTTTAAATTATATATTAATTTGCAGTATATTACTGCACTGTATTGATATTGAGATTTCAGTTAGACCCACATGTGAAACTGATAGACAAACTTTGCATATTTTTTCCCAAAAGTTCAAAAAAATTTGTTAAAAAATGGTATTCAATTTTTATATTTTTGTGTAGAAATTGATTTCACCTGAATCATTCACTTGAATCACATGCACTCATTGAATACATTCATATACATACACTTTTAAATACTGGTCCTGTGTCTGAGAGCCAGGTTATGTTACTTGTTTGAAACATCAACCTATGTCTTGCTCTTTTTGAAGATCTCTCATGTTTCTCATTTCAATCGTTTTTTTTTTCTCCAATAATTTAATTTTTACAATCTGATCTGCACTGCCAAATGTGTTACTTTTAAGTGACAAAAATAAGATGAAAACTAAGAATAGCATTTAAAGAACACTACCAAATGCTTTTTTTTTCTTTTTTTTAAACTTTGTCAATTGTTAAAGAAGATATGTGGTTTGTTAATAATTTGCAGGGCATGAAAGGAAACAAGAATTAGTTTTTTTACAAAATTTGTAAAAGTTCAGTGACAGAGAAAGATAGATTACTTTTATCATTTTAAGCTGAATTGAATCTCAAACATAAATTTAGAAAAGTCACATAACCATGCTCCTAATCTCAGGAAGCTTCATGCGTAAAGTTATAAGTTCCCAACTATTCCCACCCCGCCAATTGAGTTTGAGTTCAGGTCAGCCAACAGGTCTGACAGCGCCATTTTCACCCAGACGGCTAGTGGCCACCAGTAGAGCCCCCAGAGAGAAGAAGTATGGAAACGCCTGGTACGAAAATGAAAGCCCACTCAACAGTCAGAGAAAGACATTGATAAAGATTGTTCTATAAAAAATAGTACCAACATTTTAAATATCTCTTCAAAAATATATAAAGCCAGAATGATCAATTCATTGATCGTGGGGCCTCAAAATATAGAAGAAGAAGAACAAAAATTTAGGCCACTTGTGGTGCATGGTAAATCTTTCTTAAAGAACACTTACCAAAGAATGTATTGTTGAGACTTTTTTTTTTTTTTTGATACCTATCTTGTAATTGATAAATATGTTACAATAATTTGATCCTCATAGCCATTCCTAGTAAAGTTATACATTTTTTACATAAATTTAGAAAATAAATTAATTTGAAATTTGCAAATTTTAAATTGAGAATTGTTACAGTAATATAGTTTTAAGGGAGTTGAGTCCAGTCTTTCAGCATTGTAAATTTTAATTGTAATGACATTTGCACTAGGAGTATCTATTATGTTATTGAATGTAATTTAAAGTCAATAGCTCAAAGAACATAAACATGTTGTAATTGTATGATGTTTGATTTCACTTTCATTTATTACTTGATAGCCATTCACAATTTACCAACCCACTTTCATAACAAATAAAGTGAAGACACATTTGCTCTTATAGAACACTGACAAGAAGTGTAAACAATATATTAATTTTTTACTTTCATGAAATGGAATATGTAAAAACTTAAGATGATTTTTATATTTAAACGAATGTTCAGATTTTTTTTACTAAATAATTTTGATTTGATACCTTTTAATTGGCCCACGTTACAGGCCAGCTTGCCATTAGTTCCAGACATACAAGGTGTATTTCATATTACGTTAATATTATATATTTATATGCATCATAAGTTTTATATGTGTTAATGTTACATGCATGGCCTTCATTGCGCTATCCAACTATTGATTTAAATAACTGTGACAATATGACAGGGTACAGTAGCAGTAGTCGTTTGAGAAACTTACGGTAATTCTTATGTTTTTTTCTTTTTAAATATTTAGATTTGGTTGAATTTGAAGTCAAGAGGGCAGAAGAAATGAACATACAAAATTTTTGGTGCCAATCTATGCCTATGTCTTATTCCAAGGGAGCTTTTTCTCTATTTACCTCTGTTTATGGATGTATTTAAGAAGAAAATGCAGAAAGTTGTCACAAATTATGCTGTACTCAAAGTTAAAATAGAAACTCCAAACTCGCCCCTATGAAAGTTCATACTTTAAAAAGACAAATAATAGAAAATATTTAAGTCCTCGGGAGGCCCAGGGTAGGGTTTAGAAAATAAAGGAAAGTGATGTTTTAATGAGCAGTTTAATGCAAAATTAAGAAATTTTAATGGAAGATAATACAATTCGTGTCACACAATGGTATTTTTCCACACAAATTTTCTTTTAAAATTCCATACAAAAAAAAACTATCCTCCCTCATCAATTTCTTTCTTTTATCCACAAGCCACCATGCCCTCATAAGCCTCATCACATGACAATATCCAGGGATCTCTTCCTTTTACTCGGCTATCCTGTCACTCAATAATGCTCTGCCCGATCCCCTACACATTTCAGCCACACTTTACTCCTACTCTTGTACGATCACATCCCACCCTTTTCTTTCCAATACACTATCCCAAACTTTCTCCTCCACCTTCTCCATCTACCCAATTTTCTATCCACCCACCTCTCCCCTTCCCTCTTCATTTCCCTTTCCCCTCCACTGACCACTGGAATATTATGCTAACAATTGTTGTACTTGAGAGATATTAACTTATTTCGTTGTTCTTAATGAATTGTTACTGATGTTATTGTAAAATCAGATTTATTACCCACTGTAAATTTGTATCAACTATTTGCGAGAACGAAATTTCAATGATTTTCCAATACGCAACGCATGAAGTATGTGGATTCATTTAAAGTTATATGTTTTCTTGAGGTTTTATTTTCTTTCTGCTCATAAAGTGAATGAGGCAATACATGTAATATTTATTATTGATATAAAATATTATAAATGATAATATCAATTCAAATATCCATCATGTTTTATAGTTATTGGAAAGTGTAGCGATGAAATTTGACAACACAATTGAATGTCTCTGAACCAAGCAAACCTAACATTGACCCAAAAAAATTGAATGTCTTTGATTGACAACAAAATTGATGTTAGGTGTGCTTGTTTCAGAGACATTTGTTTTTAAATTGATTCTTTTCTGCTTCCAACGTCATTATCGATCAACATCTCTTTGAACCTTTACTGTGTAGAACACTTTATTTTTCTGTTCACTTTAAGTTTAGAAACAGCTAAGTGACGGCAAAATTGGATACGTTTCTTTGGAAAGTAAGCCTAAGGCGCCTAAGCCTTGCTGCCTACATTCTTTAAAAAAAAAAAAAAAAAAGTTTTGTATGATGTGTAGCGTTGTTCAAAACCTTTTGTTCGCAATTATACATATCAATTAAACTAACCCTAAAACCCAAGGATTTCGTATAAAGTATAAGTCCTGTATAGGGATTTTGTATAATTTTATTTTATATTAATATTCTAATGACCCTCCAGCTTTTACACCACAGAATCTCTTACAGTCTTACACCGTTTCCGTAAAACCAACGAAAATATTATGCACCAAGCGCACGTGCAGTACTTTCAAGAATCTCATTCATTGCAGTTTTTCGGGAATTTTTGTGTGTAAAATATGGGGCATCCTGGTAGCGTTAAAGTGGATTATTGGAAGTTGGGATTGAACATTGGCCAGACTTTGTTGTAATCAGCATAGAGGCTATGTTTTTTTAAGTTTCAGCACAATAGGAGGATGAGAAGTGGGTCAAATAGCCCTACGAAGACTTGGCTATAAACACAAAAAGAAAGAAACACGAACAAAAGTGAAGGATATAAACAAATAAATTTAACGTGATATATCAACACACACACACACAAATTCGATACATAAATGCGTTTTTATATTTTGGTAAAGAACGTTCATTCCAACTTCTTGTTCTGCACTTAGAAAGGAATTTTCGCACCACAGCCGTACGCACTGTAACACAAACAAGTGCAGGGTACATTACAAAATAAAGAACGGAACCACTCGATCACACAACAAGAAGCAAATGTTGCGAACTGGTATACATCTACGATATGCGAATAGCGGCGAAATGCTAAAACAGTATTGGTGGAAACTTTTGTTATTTGTCTGTTTTCATGAAGCTGTTCATGGTAAACTTTTACAAGAGCTAGGAGATGTTTTCTCTGTAAAATTTATATAACATTAACGATTGATTCGTTTTTAACAAGCATGAAGTAGGCGTAAATAATTTTTTTTTTTCTCTTAACGAACACACATTGCTATATTTAAAAAAAAACTTTTGAAATAAAACTAACCTAGCAGTTTCAAATCATCCGAATATGGTCCCGAAATGTTTAACTGTTCAGGTTTAAAATATTTCAGCTTATCCCCGAACAATGGGCCTGGAATTTGCTGTCGCGCTACCAAGATTAATGGACAAGGGAGTCAACTCAACTCCCGTTTTGTTTATTCTGACAACGTTTCAAACCGACGAATTCGAGGTACAGATGGGTCAGATTACAATAGGCAAAAAATAACAGAATTTTAACAGAAAATCTTTAGCTAAAGTGTATGCTGCAGACACATGTAATGCTCTATTTATAAAATCTAAATATCCCGTATGGGAAATTTACAATCGCCTCATTTCCCAATGGCTAGATTACGTACTAACTCTCGAAAATGACGTATTTATTGCTTTCTACAACTAAACTATTGACTTCTGATGAGCGTATCTAGGTCAAAAAGCTTCTTTTTCTTTTCATGCGTTGTAAGCTGGCGCTCAATTGACCCAAGAACAGTTAAAGAGAGCGGAGCTGAGCCCATGGCCACGATGTAAATTAAACCCCGCAACAATGTTACCATATTTTGTTAAATCTTGAAACATTGATACTCAGCAGGAGTCGCTTTCATTCACTTCAAAATCAGTGTCGCAATTTTAACTTACCAAACGATCAACTGTCTAAACTTTATATAGAGACAGAAGCACAATAAAGTGAATGTTATTATATATAGCGCGGCACAAAACACTTGGGAGGCAGCTTAAGAATGTGCTTATGATACTTGGTCAACGTCAGTTCAACAGACTTCCTTAAAAATATAATATGTGCTGACTGATGTCATTAGAGTAGAAACCACAGCCTAGAGCAAGAACATTTAAGTGACAGAATGGGAAAATTAACATGGCATGTTTCATTTGGTGACAGAATAGGAAAGTGACGATGACATGTTTCATTTGGTGACAGAATAGGAAAGTGACGATGACATGTTTCATTGCAGGTACAGTTTCAGTTTGATGACTTGACAACAAATATATCAGTT